AGAAGTCGGCAAATGGCAAAACTCGCGAGGCTTTTCGTCTTTTTCTCTAGTTCTCAACTAAGCGCAAATCCGCGATGAAACCGCTTGGCGATGACATTGTGAGTCACGCACGAATTGGTATTCAAATAAAAACCTAATATTTTGACAGGCAAGCAAAGCTAGTTCCAACCACACACAACCATTCTATAATTCCCAATGGATTTTGTTTTATAACATTTTTTACAGTCGCAATAGAACTGTAATAACTACGTTCACAAGATCTTAAAATCGTTTGATAAGCAATAGTACAAAGTCTTATACTTACACTACTTTATAAGAGTACACTAACGTTTAAAATGATTTTGAATTTATAAATCACGATCGACTCACGCGTTCTTCACCAATTCCTCCGTGGGTTTTCGGGTACCTGTTTGTTTTTCGCTTTTGCCCAACATGCCAATGTCCTGGTTCCTGGGCCTTTTTTTCGCCCATCTTTCTCTTTGGGGAGCTTTACTTTTTCTTTCTGCTCTCTTTTTTTGGGCATCTTGTCATCCTTAGGCTTTTGGCGTTGCTTAACTTTCGCCAGACGCCCACATGAAATGGCAGACGCTGTCGTCGCCCCCGAACTCTTCTGTCACCCCTTCGTTCGCCCTTTATTTTCTTCTACTCCTAGACCTTATATCCCGTCGCAGAGTTTCCCCAGGACCCCAAAGGGCCAAAAAAAGAAGGGATTGCGTTCTCTAAGTCATTCTGTCGTTGCCTTTTTGAACTTTAATATACTGCAACATTCATGTGTTTGCCAAGGCGACACCCCGGATAAAGCTGTCTCTTTCTCTGACTGCATTGCTAACTCTTTCTAGGTCATTCTGTCTCCTTCTAACTCTTTTCGTAGCCTTTCTCCGAATGAATTGAGCCCCTCTCTTTCGCACCATCTCCTAGAGACAGAGGACAATTCAATTTTACAAAAGGCGTTGATGTAGGCATGCCAACACAGAGAGAGAGAGATGGCTAAACAAGGGTGCGAAAGAGAGGGGTATAGATTGTGCAAAAGAGAGGGACAATAAATCGAGGTTAGAGGATTTCTAATAGTAATTCCATTTATAATTTACTGTCGTCGATTTATAAATGAGCCTAAGCCATCAGGACGTGAGCCCCCGCTTTTGCTCATGTCCCTGCTTCTGTCGTCCTCCTTATCGCCCCCTCCTTATCCCCCATTCCTAATAGCCTCCCCCTTTTGCCACGCCCCCTTCATACATATCCGTAGATTCCGGGGACTAAGAGCAAAGCTGCCAAGTGCTTAACATAATTTTAGGCGCATTTGTGGCATTAACATGGTGGCATTTGCATATGAGAGGGTACCAGTCTGTGTGTGTTGAATACACTAAAGAAAATGATTTATTAATATAAGGAAAGGCCATCAAAACTACTCTCAGTAAAGTTTTATTCAAGAGTTATTAACGTATAAAATTAGTTATAGATTAGTTTACTATTAAAAATTTTGTTCTTGCGTTATAAAAATCCAAACTTTTTAGCCTAAACATTTTTTTTACCTTTGACCATTTCAAAAATTTTACTCCCACTGCCGGGCACTAAATTGATAATTGCTTCAAAAATAGTTTTAGGAGACACAGTTAAATAATGGTTTTATATATTTCTAAGGGATCCTGCTTTTATGTCTTATTCAGAAAAGGTTATTAACATTCTGAGTGCACTCGCATTAGAGGCCACAGGTGTGGCCTGCACCGGAAGCTCTTAAGCTGACCCCAAGTCTGGCATTTGTACTGCCCGTAAACGGGAAGAGAAGTCCGTATATATGTGCATATATATACCCGTATGCAGGACTAATCGGGCCACATGACACATGCTGCACACTTATTAGAATTTCATAAAGTGCCGCATGCTGTAGAAAGCCACAAAGCCATGGTAAAATCTCGGGTTAATGAAACGTTGTAAAGTTTTTCACTTGTTTTTCGACACAGAAGAGGTAAATATTTCCTTTTCTTTGTTATATTTTGTAATATTTATTTATTTAAAACTATAGGGAAACATAACTATTATGTAATCAAATGTTCCGCTTTTTAATGCATTTTAATTTGTTAAGCCTTTTAATTAATTAATCTTGCCCCCTTTAAATGATCCAAGACGAGCTGGAGGATTGTTAAGCAAAATTTAGCCATAATATTTCACTAATGGCTCCCCTTCTACACAAGTACTTTATTTAGCATATGCACAAAGCTTTTTGTAATTTGTTATGTGGCAGTCGAGACGAAGGAGACGACGACTCAACCCAAAACTCCATTCCCAGTTCCAAACTTATAAAATTATGATACCCCGAAAAGCAACAAATTTTAATTGCAAGAAAATTTTCGTAATTCTCGCACACACACACATACACACAGAAAATGTGGGGGATTTTCCAGGATGTGAAGGGGAAAAGGCGAAGAAGCGATGAACGAACCACATGCATGGCGTAAACTTATCGTAGATACAAATGTAGCACAAAACCCAGGCTCCACTGTACCCAGTGCACCGCAGTAAACCAAGACAAACGCTCTAAAACTCGCCAAAGTTTTTGGGGGCTATGCAACTGTAACTGTGTAACTTTCTCGACTCGTCTGTCTGTCTTCTGAATATCCTGGAATCTAATAAAGACAAGGGTATACCCATTTTCACAGAATTTAAAAATCGTTAAGCTGTAACAAGTATTAGGACAAACAGAACAAATAAAAGAATACTTTATTCATCAAGTCATGTTTATAAATCTATACTCCTTTAATGTTTTATTTTTATACAAATTAGGTCTGCATATGGTTTTCACGAATTAATTTTTTAAAAATTTAAAAGATTATAACAATAAAAATAATGTAATAATAAACGGCTATTGAAAATGTTGTTGGGCTTAATATAATTATATTCCTGCTTTGTTTTGGGTATTAAACAAATGTTTATTATTTTTAAATAACGAGTATTTGCTGGTCGAAATAACTTTTCTATTTTTTCTCTACCTTTTCCCGGCTGTGTGTGTGTATGTGGGCATTATAAATTTATTTAGCAAAAGCGCGTAAAGCGCATAAATTGCTGAGCGCAAGCTGCTCAAGGGCTGGCTGTCCTTCGTCCTGGAAAAGCGGAAAAGAAGGATGAATCTAGCGGGAAACCCAAGGAGCGCAATTCCCATGAATGCAAGCGTTCTAATGTGTATGTTTGTGTGAAAAATTGAAATTTATTGTTATTGTAAGCTCCGTGCAAAAATGTGGGACGAACGGAGGGGGTGCTAAGGTGTCCAAGGGGTGGCCATAAGGGTTAAGGCGGTGGTTGCACCTTTTGCTGTTTGCCGTCGGAATCACTCGCCGACAAAATAATAATGTAATAATAATTTTTCCAACTCGTTAACACATGAAAACGTGTGTGTTCCCCACACGCACATTCCACGCAGAAATATACAAGGACACACACACACAAGTTGTCCTGGAAAAAAGGCATCGGGGAATCCCCCCATGGATAAAATTAATGATGCGAAACTGGCTGTGGGCGGACACAAACAAAAAAACAAGAAAACCAGGTTGTATTCCCTTGCTAAACAATTATTCCTCGGGCAGCCTAGATACATATACAAATTTAAACACTTCAGTTGAAAAGATCCTTAACCTTTAAGTAATCTATAAACTTATCTGTTACAAGGGCTTTCCCACCTTAATTACTCCTAAAAAAAATGTTTGCTGTTCATGCAATATTAATAAGGTAACTAAGTCCAGAGTTTTATATTTCCAACTTGTAAAAATCGAATTCCCCTTAAAGTAATTACTTCCATGAAAAGTCCAGCTCTCGGGCCCCTATCCATACAATTTTTCACCTTAATTTGTGAGACTTCTGCCCATCGCGCACCACCTGCTCCTTTCAATATTGTTTTTAGCCAGACAAAACACAAGAAATCCATTTGTGAAAAAAAAGGTCGAGGGAAGGAGGTGATGGCAGGACTACAGCACAAATAATTGAAATCAATTCATCGGCATAAATTGCTTTAATTAAACGAGCGGAAATAATAAAAAGCGCCGAGACAAAAAACGTATAGCACAGCTGTCTCTTGGCTTGTGACAGTTATTAAGGGAATTTTCTTCCGGCAATATTCATCGAATCATATCCCATTAATTTTAAAAGCACCCGAAATATGTCATTTCATATTTACTTGATTGCTTTTATTTGATATTTTTGAGCGAAAAAAGTCCAATGGTTAAAAGTCCAATTTCACTTTTTATATGAGGTTTTCATCATGAGTTTTCTCGAAAATTTTACAAAAAAAGTTGTGAATGCAGTTCGATTGGAAATTTTGTTACGAGTTCAACGAGGTATGCCATTCCATTATTGGACAATTATTGGCGTTGTTATCGTAAAAATACTGATATTTTTGAGCGAAAAATGGTCAAAATCCCAATTTTCACATTTTTCGTGAGGTTTTCATCATGAGTTTTCTCGAAAATTTTACAAAAAAAGTTGTGAATGCAGTTCGATTGGAAATTTTGTTACGAGTTCAACGAGGTATGCCATTCCATTATTGGACAATTATTGGCGTTGTGATCGTAAAAATACTGATATTTTTGAGCGAAAAATGGTCAAAATCCTAATTTTCACATTTTCGTGAGGTTTTCATCATGAGTTTTCTCGAAAATTTTACAAAAAAAGTTGTGAATACAGTTCGATTGGAAATTTTGTTACGAGTTCAACGAGGTATGCCATTCCATTATTGGACAATTATTGGCGTTGTGATCGTAAAAATACTGATATTTTTGAGCGAAAAATGGTCAAAATCCTAATTTTCACATTTTTCGTGAGGTTTTCATTATGAGTTTTCTTGAAAATTTTACAAAAGAAGTTGTGAATGCAGTTCGATTGGAAATTTTACCAATTCAATTCCCTAAATAAAATGCATTGAAGTAATAGAAACCTCTAGCGACTTGGAACCATTAGTTGAGGGCGTATAACATATTCCCGAAAAAGTGGTTTCAAGTCCCGTGAGGATTTTTTTGTCACATTGTTATTTGATTTTTAATAGATATAACTCCAAATAATAATTAAAAGCGCCGAATGGCTATTGCTAACTATAATTTAAAGGGGGCAGATTTGCTGGGCACTATAACTGCTTCTTCAACTCGTTGATCAACCGATCGGTTTCCTGCACGAAGTCGTTCAAGGGAGGCACCTGATCCTCGGGCTTAACTATTTCCGGTTCGACAGGAGTAGGATCCTCGGTCTCCACCGGGACCAGCTTTCTTTTCTCGCAGACGCTCTGCAACTGTTCCAAGTAGGATTCGCTTTCGTCGGAAGTGCTTTCACTGCTTGTATCGCTATTGTTGTTTCCAATTCGGGATATTATGTTGTCCCAGCGATTTAACAAGGCCTGATGCGATGCTGAGTGATAGTTCGAGGGACGAGCTGATGGCCTCATGATCACCTCATCGCTGGAATCGCTCAATAGCGACGCATCGAAGTCGGATTCAGACGAGGTATCTGTATTTCGCACCCACACACCATTGGTGCGAGTTCGAAGTGGGATCGGAATGATAAAGTTGCCGCGACTCCGGAGCTCGATCCGATTCATAAAGTGGCTGCGACTCTGATGCTCGATCTGATTGATGAAGTTGTCTGCCTGCGAGATCAAGGACTCGAGTTGCTGATGGATAACTTCCAATTCCCTCAGACCAGCGAGATGTACCAACTGATCGATGTGGGCATCCGTCTCGTCTTCCCCCTCCGATTGTTCGGGGCTCACCGGATTATCGGACTCGGGTTCCACCGCCTCTGACTGCTCCACGTCCTCGGAAACCTCCTCGATGGTCTCCAGCTGGGCAACTGGTCGACTGCCTCTGCAACTAAGTGGAGTCGGCTTCGGCGGTTCCCTCGCCTTCTGGGCCCTCTGCGATACATAGTACAGAAAGTTCGGAGCGGTTATGCTATGGCAATATGGACCCTTGGGCTGGGGCAGATGGTAAGGACACTCTTCGTCGTAAATCCACTCTCGTGGGGATTCCACTGCCAAGTTTTTGGAGCGACATGACTCCACAAATTCCCGGCGATGGCTATATATCTCCCTCATTTGCACCACAGTAATGGCATTGTTAAGCCGCTCCTGGAACTTTGTGTTGTTGCGAAAGGCGGCCATCAGGACATCGATGCGATCCGAGGGATCATTTCTCATCAAAGAACTGCTCCACATTCTTCTGAGCATCGTAACCGGCAGTAGAGTTACCCTAACGCAGTCCATCAATTCTGGCATCTGTTTGCATCTCTCATTGGGACGAGCTATTAGCCAGCGTACAATACCAAAAAGGACCTCCACTTCGGAATTTACCCCCAAGGTATCCTGCTCCAGCATGGTGATCATATCCTCTATGGGCATCTCCAGATATTCAGAGCCCCCAACTATGGCCAGAAAATGAACTCCAACCCTTTGGAGCATTATTTTGCGGTGTGCCTCCAACTTCGGGTATTTGAGGGCCTTCAAATAAACCTCGAAGGCGAACTTCTCACTGCACCGAGTGGTGCACACATGTCGACAGCACAAATTCTCCAGAGATTCCATGTTGAGCTGCTGGGCTGTGTGCAGTAGTTCCACCATTTGTTCCGGGTTCAAATCATCCAGGGGCTTCTGGATCCTCATCCAATCATAGGCAGCCCGAAAACCCACGGCAGTCAGATCAACGCCCTCGCGAAAAGTATACACCTAGGAATGGAAGAAAAATTAATATAGTTTAACGATACCATTTGAATTATGTATGGAAAATATATAGTATACATTTGTATTTACTATTTTAAATTTATTATTTTGAAAGGAAACTTTTTTGTTGATATTTTTTAGACTCACCGATTCAATTTGGCGAGCGAAATATTTGCAGCTCAATTGCAAAAGTGAGGGAATACACCAGAAAGTGGCCATGCCGATGCGAACCTGCAATGTGGCACCCAGATTTCCCTCCCTGATGCTCCTGTAATCGTCGATATTTTTGCATCCAGAGGGCCGAGCACTAGGCACATTAATTCGCGAAAAAACGGCATCATTCCAGGGCATCAGGCGATTTAGAGCCCATTCCACTTGGGTTAGACGGTGCTGACGTTCCGCTTCACTTGAATACGACCTACGTTCGCAGATCTCAATCACCTCGTGCCATTTGATTTTCCTTAGATCGAATTCCCGATCGGTTCCATCGCTGTTGCGGCTTGTATCGTCCCCCATCTTAAGACAGCAAAAAAAACTGTAGCAGTCGGGTGACAAAATACAAAACTTGATTTTTAAAAATATTACTAAAACATGTAGCAAACAGTTTTAGCCTTTTCGGTAGACCGTTTCGTAGAAGTATTTGTTTAAAACTAAAGTTTCTTAGCACAAAAAAGTAGCCTGTCAACAAATGTATTGACATTTGGTTCGTCGATTGCTTTATGTAGAAAATTTGTTGTTAAGTTCTAAGTGAACAGAATTAATTCAATGCGCATGACGACGCTAGAATTTCAATTATTTCTGAAGGGCACGGCAATTAATATCCGCAATTTAAAAACATACGCCTCAGGGCCTTTCGAAATTGGCTCTGTCAATTCGATTATGAGCGAAATTTTACTTACCAAATCACACGTATTACGCAACGTCTGCGATAAAATATATGAAACTAGAAAAAAAATATTCTAAAAATTTTATAGAAGTCTTGCTGCTGAAAACAGACTTGTTTCAACCGTACTAGAAAACGATATGAACTGGACGAGACCAAAAAGTGACTGATATAAGCATGGGGTGCTTGGTTTGAGTAGATTTTTCATTGCCATAAAGCCTACTTTATTGATAAAATATTGCACAGAAAAGATGTTAGTAATCTTTGTAAAAATTATGCATTTTGGTTAACTTCAACCATTAAAAGTATTTTCAGTTAAGTTAGTGAACTCATTCAAATTTTAATATTCATTAAAAATACATATTTTCAAACATATTATATATATATTGTATATTCGTTTTGTGATATAAAAACTAATTGTTTTTTGTTAAAACACTTGTCGTAACAGTTTAATTAATTTAATCTGTTTTATCAATATTCAGGCAATAAATTATTTAATTTAAAACTACCAATTTTTGAATACCTTTTGACATCATTGTACTAGTCTTTTTAAGGTTTATTTGTTATGAAATAAATTTGGTCCAAATATGAAAAAGTCTTTCCTTCAATTTCGTATTTTTATCTCATTTAAGCAAAGGCCTTACCAAAAATAAAAAGTCAAGAAACTTAAACAGATTCCGCGGAGGACCGGCATTGCCCCGGGGCAATCTGAATTTTTTGACTATTCATCACTGTGCGTGATGGCACTTGGTGATTGATTTTGGCGATTCCAACCCCAGGTTACCCGCCACAAATCCAATCACTCCTGCTGAGCATATTTTCAGGATAGCTAATGGAATTTTAACACAAATTAGCTGTTTTGCTTAAATGCCAGTTCGTAATTTGGTAATGCCAAGTGTCGGGGAGAGGAAGAAAAAGCCGGAGTTGACCTGCGGCATTTTTGGTAATTACAACCGAGCCCAACAACCCACCGCAAAAGCAATTTCTTTGGCCAGGACATCTAAGGATGTTTGCTTAACCTGATCTCCTGGCTTTTTTCCCTTTCTTTTCCCCCAGTCATTTTCAATACTTTTCTTGTGCTTCTTGGGCAATAAAATCAAATCAACAGGGCAACAAGTGCTGCTTTTCAGCTCCTGCCAGGGTTGTCATCTCTGCCACAAATGAAATCATTTAACCCCGGGGGCAAGTCGATACGAAAACGAAAAACGGAACGAATAAAAAGCGAAATAATATTGGACAAGATTTATGCCATTTCACTTTGAGCTTAAGAAAAATATTTGGCGAGTCGAAAAAGCGAAAAAACCCGAGGCGGAAAAAAAAGGGGTCAAATTGGGTGGTAGGGTTGTGTGGCGGGTTAAAAAGGAGAAAAGAAATATTCAAGAAGGGGACACAGTAGCAAAAAGATCGATTTAGGATGCTGATAATATAGGACCAAGTAATATGTTGTTTTTTTTGGCAAGAAGGATAGAACCAATTTCGGGGCATGAAATGCACAAGATTCAAGAAAAAATAGGAATATAAAAATAGTGAACAAATTTTATCTAAGGTAAAATAAAACAAAGTTAAAGTACTAGATACAATTACGGGATAATAACTAAGTTACTACCAGAAAATCTTTGACATTTTTTTATAAGGTCACTACTCGAAAACTTTTTGAAACCGAATGATTGAATCAAATGCTGATACATTTATTTAAAATAGTGCGCATAGCAAATATTTAAAGCCTTTGCTATTTGCCAAAAGACAATTGAAAAATTATGCTAATTTTCCGGCTTTGTTTTCGTTGATGTTTTATTTCTTTTTCTCGTGGGAGAGGGCAGGCAACCATAACCAGAAGTTCCAGAAGTCTAATAGAACCGGGGAGCCAAAAGAAGCAATATGGAAAAATCTCGTAAACCCAAAGGGTTTTCGTTGCATTCCGGCACGTTGGCAATTTATTTGCTCCTGTTCCGTGCCCCGTTCGCCCCCCCCTTTTTTCGCCCCTTTTCGCTGCCAGTGGGCGTGGCCAACTATTTAAAAACACACACACAATAGAAGAGGTTTTCTGGGATGGGTTGGAAAAGGGGGTTTTCTTTCGTGATTAATGCCCGTCGTGGGCTTCTGTGCCTTCGTGTGCAAATTTCGTGTAATCTACTTTTAAGCCCGGCCATTGCATAATTTTAGGCAGGAGACCTGGTCGGCACTTTGGCCCCTGCCACCTCGATTAGCCGGCCAAAAAGGAGCAGCAGGACGAAGGGAAGGGAAGGGAAGGACTTCCTGTTGCAGAAGATAAAGCAGCAATTCGGGATTGAGACGAGCAGCTCGCTCCTTTCTGGCCAGGTGGTTCAAAGTGGGTTACACGGTGGGTTAAAGGCTGCGGCTGCTATGGAGTGTTATTAATATCATTTTTGACAGGCGCATTTGTCTTGGTCCTTCCAGCCGGATCAAGTTGGAATTCGGTTGGGGTGGCTCAAGGTTAAGTTGGGCTAGGTCCAATTGGGTTACTTTGATTGGGAGCAAAGGACAAAGGGGTCAGTCCAATTTTCAAGTCACGAAATTTTAAAGTTTCCAAAATTGAATAACGAAACATCAAATGCTGAGCATAGTTACGACCTAATGAAGACACTTTCAAATTTTGAATTTAAGAAACATATTAATCCTAAGATAGGTACATTGCACCTGAACAAATATTTAATAGATGGATGTTAAAAAATACCTTATATCTCTAACATTCTCTTATGCATTCCAATAAATATCTACAACCTTTAAAACACGGTTAGGGCAAGGAAACCATTTAAAATTCATTGATATTTATTTTTCTCTTGTTTATATATGCATACTTAAGTACCATTTTGATGGATTTTGGTTAAGCAGACAAAAGTGGCTCCACAAAAAGCTGGTTAAGCTTAAACTTTGTTTTGGACTTCAAGCTACACCGCTCTTAAAATTGAATCATGGTCGGTTTAAGTGCCTCTTCGATGGGATGGATTGAAAAAGATTCCAAAATCGTTTGGACAACGCTGGGCATGAGCATAAAATTGTCAGGCAGCCACATAAACATTGGCAATATGGTGACCTGCGGTTTTGTGGGGTGGGAACTTTTCAAGGGGAGTTTTCCGGAATGGGGAGTTGCTTTAACCGTGGGTGGAAATGCCTGTGCCTGATGTCCTTGTCGTGTCGTGTTCCGCGGTTTCCCTTTAGTGGTCGTAAACAATTTTTACTGCCCAAACATTTGGCCGCGCTTTAGCCTCTGCCGTTTGCTTATTTTTATTTTTATTTATATTTTTATATTTATTGTGTTTATATATTTAAAACAAAATGGCGCACATCATTTCGGACGACGCTTAGCTCCATTCCAAGGACACTCAACTTCTCCGCTGCTTCAAAGAAAAGCACTGAGATAATATTGTGACTATTTAAAAACAAAATATTCTTGAAAGTTAAATGGTTTCAGAATTAAGATATATATTTAGGAACTACTTATTTCCAATCAATGCTCTATGTAGTTTACAGCATGAAACAATTTGGTCGCAGAACTTTGTAATGATTTTATCTTGAGAAATACTACCACAAATTTGTAATAGTCTTGTTTATGGATAACTAAAATTCTGGAATATATAAGGAATCAAAAAGTTTATCTCTGTGTAATTGCCAATGCTGGGTGGATTGAGTCGGGGGTAAAAAGTGAGAAATGAGGGTGGTAACGAAACGCCTGTCGCTGACGCTAAGTAGTTGGCTCAGACGGCAACTTTGGACTTGGATTCGGATATTCGGACTTTCTGTTAGCTCCTTGTTGATTTCACTTGCCATGCTCTTCGCTATTTCTCTCTAGTTTTTTGGGGGAAAAGTTTGGCGCATTTATTTGCGTAAATGGCAGGCCGGCAAATCCTGCTGCATACTTTTCAGGGCATCTTTTCTTTGCTTCTCCATTTTCCCTGGACTTTAAAGAGCGTTAATTTATGCATGTCACTGGCAGCCAAACAAAGATATGTATGGTTAGGCATAACGCCTTAAGAACCCTTCAGACGAAGGAAAAGCCCATTTTCCATTTTCATTTGGGCAATGAATAAGTGGATTTGCAGTAATTTGCTGGGTTCTACTTCAGCTCGGTAAGAGTCTATTTAAAGCTTTGTTCGATAATTGATACCCTGTGTTTGGTAATGATATATCCGAATACTGTTAGCCATCTCAAAAATAATTTACTTTGCAAATGTAGCATTGCAAATCATCGATAAATATAGCTTTGATTGTCGAAGTATCAAAAAGAAAAGAAGTTAATAGAAACATGGTTTCCTGATGGTTTATCGTATCAAAAATCGCTTGCTAATACAAAATTAAATAATAAAGTTCTTAATTACTGATTCGACAAAGTTTTATTATCATAAATATACAAATTTTAGAAATTAAACCATGCCATATACATTGTCATTTTATATTTTATTTATACTTTTAAGCTCATTTTATAATTCCATTAATTCGAGCATAGGGAATGCCTGCTAGTCGCTATTGCGCGAAATTTCTGTGAAGTCATTTCCCATTCAAATTGACATTGAGCATATTGTAGGCCACCCAACTCGAGTGCTCGAGTCCTGGAGTCCTGGAGTCCTGGAGTCCACGATATTCCCTTGAATTTCAGGACAATCCCCGGCAAGTGTCAGCGCCTCCTGTCGCCTGTCGCCATTCGCATTCGCATTCACATTCCCTTTTATTGCTTTGCACAACATTTACTGGCGAAATGGAAAATGGGAAATGTAAATGAACAAAATGAGCTGCACAGCAACAGACAAAGATAAACAAAAATAGAATTGTCCAATTGCAGGCAAGAAGACATTGCTAAGAAGTTGCCATCGCCATCGCCATCGTCGTCGCCATTTCCATTTCCCTCATCGTTTGAAAATTTATTTTCGATTTCTATTCCCCCGCCAACTTTCCCGCTTTTCCTCCTCATCATTGGCCTATCAATGTGCGCTGTGTTGACAGTGGCAATTGCTTGAATAAATAAAGGAGCCGAATGCCAGAGCGAATGCCAGAACGGAACCTTCTGGGCAAAGTCAACATACATAGTGGGCCACCCACTACAAAACCCAATAAGCCACCCACTTCACCACCCACTCCCCAAACATATGGGGAGAAATCAACAGCATCCTTTCCCCTTTTTTA